ATATAAATTTATTTTGTAGGAAATTAAATTTTTTAATCTACGAGTAGATTACTGCACATTATTTTGAAACAATTGAAGAAACCCAAGGAAGATTAGTTTGATATAAAGGAAGTACTTGTGGCACAGAGAAGTCTAGCTTGTTGATAATTATAAAATTCAAGGAACTTGGATCTTCCATTTAATAGATTAATGGCATTAACATTGAGCTCCCTAATCAGTGCTTTGTAATAAAATTTTTTTGCATTCTAAAAGCTTGTTTGCTTGCACGGTTACACCTGCGTCAACAACACGAGACAAAAGAGATAAACACGAAAAGAAGTCTTCCATACAGAGATCTACCACATGAATTAATATTATCCTCCGCACAATTAACAGCAATTTAAGCTACCGCCCTGTGCACCGTACCAACATCGCATGGATCGTGTTAGCTTTTTTATGTTAAAAAAAATTATATTATGGACTTATAATTACTGGTAATATGATAATATTTTCACCTTATAAATTATTATGCACAATGAAGATATGTGTGTTAATAGACGTAACGTACCTGATACTTCTAAAGAATACGAACACCAAAAAAGTTTTTCTGTTACCAAGTGTAATTATAACCTATGTAAATAATTAATGACTGTATAATTGAATAAGAAACAAAATCTCAAGGAGAAAATATTCGAGCATTGTTATATCTATATATACTACATGCTACCAAAGGATAGGATCCTTGGCATCGAAGCCCATTCACGAAGCCCTGCAAACAGAGGTTATCTCCAACATAGTTTTTTTCGAAGAATCTATAAAGTAAAATTTCATCAAATTAGTATCTTCATCTCCCAAGCCGTCACTATAGGTAAAAATATAAAGCAACATGAAAAGTCCAAAATTGATAATCATCTTTGTTTAGGCATCAAAATTCAGACGTGGTATTATATCAGAAGTCTATCTCTATTCTTTTTACTAATATATCCAATAATTTTATATTAATAGTAATGTAAATAAGGGCATAAAAGCCAACTAATAATTCAGGGATATTTTGGTAGTTCAATATTTAGCGTAAAATATTCGTACTTTTATAATAATATAGATAGATATAGATATAGATATATATATTTTTTGGCCAACAAATACAATTAGTTTCGATCGAGCGGCCAATTCGTATTTTGCCCATAAAGAAATGGAGCTTCTAGTACGATGGTCAACACATTTAGAATTTTGGTCCAATATTACCATGTCGTTGGGAGGAAAAATCTTGCTTTTGGCCTTCACTTTAAATGGAGCTCCAACTTAAGGGTAGTTTTAAACTATAGTTAAAAGTTTGAGGTGTAATTTTGATATTTTCTAGAAAGAATTTGGACACATGCATCCATTCATTTCGTGATGGAACTTCGTTATGACAAGTACAAATACGAGACAATTTGCTAACTGTAAAAGTATAATAAAAAAAAAAATTGAGTAATTTCGAATAATATAGTAAAAATACTGTCAAGTTTCTAGCATTGATGGTCAACGCATTTAAACTTTAATAGACATTAAAATATCCCCCTTTACAATTGCTTTTAAATCTGTAATACGCTTCTTACATGGGAGTTTGATTAAATTTTTATCCCAAGTACACCATAATAGATCGAAAGTGAGAACCGAACACAAGATTCTACTTGCTCTCGTGCAATGTTGAGTTATTTAAATTTGATAGTCTAAAAACTTAAACCCATTATTATTTTTTCTTCTTTCATTTTTATGCTTAAGTTTAAGGAGAAACAAAGAAAACCGACCCTTGATTCGGCATGTATATTCACTGTTGTTCTTATGAATTGATGGTCATTAGGAAAACAATTACATAACCATGTTCGACAACAAAGTCCCGAAAATATATTTTATGCAAAGACAAGGGGACAACATTAATTAACTTAGGCATGTAATTACTTTTGATAATTAACATGTGATGAAAGGAAAAAAACTACTACCAAATATCGTCTCTTAAGGAGTTTGAAAAAGAGAAATTATTAAAAAAAATAAGATATACATTTTAGAACTTATTTTTCAACTCAAAATAAACAATATCTATATTTTAGATCCACTACTGTCTTCCTTCATACCTCGAATTCTTTAAAAGCCATCAATTTTCCAATGCACTTTTATTTTTTTCCAATGTGGTCACCTAAGTTTCTCCGAGAAACCCTTTTTAGGGTTTCAAAATTTGGTTTTACGGTAAAAAGAAAATATGCTCAACTAAAGTGTAACATGTTGGTGCCTCTCTTGTTTAGCCTTTTCCAATACCCATCATAAACAAGTCATAATGATTTCTCGTATAGCTTTTATTTATTTATTTTTATAAATGTTTTCCTACTTGAAATGATTAAGGAAAAATAAAAAACTAAATCAAACCGAAAAGACGAAGAATGTTTTATCCTTTCATTTTCTGACCGAAGAATAGAATAGTTTGCTGGCCTCAATTTAGTATTTTATTACTATTATTAGTTAATGGTAAAAACTTACTCGTATCCAAAATTTATACCAACCAATACATGATACATATTTTATCATTAAAATAGATAAGTTAATAAGTACATATTGTCGCCTTAGTTTGTAATTTTGGTCATAAAACATCAACAATATGATTTAGTGTAAACCTCAAATGCGACTTATGAGTAATTTTTTTAATTACCATTGATTTAACTGTTGTAACCGTACACCTTGACCTGAAAAAAAGAGTTTACTTGCACTTTGTGCATGCACCAAGTAGATGTTAGAAAAAGAAATAATTTGTTTGATGCTATTTTTATTAAAACACGTAGGAGGTCGGAATAGGTTTATTTAGATAGTTAAGTTTTGAAATAACTCATTTAAAACAAACAGGCTAAGGAAAACTTGATACAAACACCACCTTAAAATCTTTTAGAGGAGGCAATTAGTTTAAAAGAATATGACTAACTGGAAAAGCACAAGAATAAAAAGGGGGAGAGGGAATAATTGGTAGATTGAGTTCAACGGAGCACATGAGACAAGGAGGACCACAACAGCAAGGCTATTCTAATTGGGTCATGACATTTGCTGTTTTTATGTGTGTTATTAGTAGAAGAAAGAACAAGAGAGAGAGAGAGAGATAGCATAAATGGACAAGGCAGGACCCACCAGGGGGGGTGGGGATCCAGCCCACGACGGCATACCCCCATATGATCTGGCTAGCTCAGTGTTGCCAGCCTTGCATTTCCCACACATCATTGGTGTGGCCCCCTCCTAAATTCTCATCAAGCACATGCTAAGAATGACCTTATTAGCCATCCGTCTAAATTTTGGTGGACACAATTATTTGATATGTATGTTAATGTATAAGTATTCAGTAGAATAGTTGAGATACTACGAGTAAGTATTCAGTAGAATAGTTGGGGTGCTACGAGTAAGTGTTTAGTAGAATAGTTGAAGTACTACGAAATTAACTTTATCACCACCAGTGACGGAGGCAGGATTACCGCTAAGGGGTTCAAAAAAAAAAAAGTTAAAAATGTTATAGCTAGTAGGAATATAGCCAATGACCTTACAAATATTTTAATCCACCTTGACCACTAAGCTATACTTTTGGTTTGTATCAAGGGGATTCAAAACATAGTATATAACAGTAAAATACAAATTTTACCTTACATATACAGTGTAATTTTTCGGCGAAGGGGGTTCGGGTGAACATCCTTCCGCCCCCTAAATCCGCACCTAATCACCACCGTAATGAGAAAAAGACCCAACTAGATATAACGAGTTAGATTAGTGCCCCAAACTCACTAATTCGATTAATTTAGATTTGCGCCATAGATAGGCTACTATAGTGTAGTGTAAAAATAGCACGGGCTAGCCAGTTTTCGGACTGGTCATTCAAAAATAGCCAGTATTTGGAAATTCATTGAAAAATAGCCACTATTTTGCTGAAACACAGAAAGTTACAGTATAATATACTGAGATTGGAGTATATTATGCTGGACCGGTATATTATACTGAAATTATATTGGAGTTTCAGTATACTTATGCTGGAATTTCAGTATATTATACTGGAGTATTTTTCCGGATTTTGAATAATATTTTCGTTCGAATTTATCTTTACATGAAAAATGACTAAATTTCGATTACTTTTGAAACTGTGGCTATTTTAGAATGACCACTCTATTTTAGAATTTCTTCCTGGTGCAGTGAGTTCGGCCTCATACAAAAGATAACTCTATTTTCAAGGTCCGAATATGACATTTCTGGTTAAGAAGAAGATTTTTTTTTAATTACAAATTTCGTAGGACAAAAGTAGTTTAATTTCTACCACTACAATGATGATAGGGAGACTTATACATTTATAGTGTTTATACGAAACTAATAAATATATAATATTCTTGTATATATTTTTTAATTATAATAAATTAGTATTAGATTTCAGTGTAAATATTGAATGTGAATGAATTTTTTAATTCAATTCGAGGGAAGTAGTCATTGAGTCAACATCGGGATACTGCCTAGAATTGACCACTAAGCTGGATCTCTTAGGACAAAACTGGTACAGAAATTTTACCTGGCGGATTTAGGAACCTATTAATTGTTTTAGTATTATTCTAAAGTCATGCTTATAACTGTAGTAGTTACACAGTCAATGCCTGTTACTGCTTGATTGAGTGTCGGCAATGTCCGTTAGAAAATTGACTAAAATTTACAAGAGTGATTAATGGCTAATAATTATGGGAATTAAATATGATTATTCTCTAGTCCTTTCTTTCCATTATTTGTTAGACTAAACCCAATATAAAACATTACAAAAATGAACCAAACAAAAATTGATTCATATTCATTGTGTTGTTATAGTGTTAATATGTGTAGATGAAGAGCTGTCTTTTTCTATTTCTTCGCTGTCCCTTTCTCTTACCATCCGTTTTTCTTTTCTATTGGTACTACTACTAGTAGTAGTAGTTCCATATTTAATTTATTACTGGTATTTTATTTATTTTTCTCCTTAATTGCCACTCACTCTCTCATCATCATACAATTAACATACAACCCTCTTATTTTCTCCACCTTCCCTTCTTCATCCTCCCTCTTCTCACTTTGGTTCTGCAAAATTAATAAGCTTTTTTTTTTTGGAGAAGAGGGGGTGGTTTCAGATTTGTGAATGACACTATGACACAGAATATAATCATGAAGAGGCTAGTAAGTACGTTTGTTTATTTATTTTCATTGGTGTTCTTGTATTTGTTCACTGAATAATTACAAGGGGTGTCTTGTTTTTGGACTAAATCTTGATTTCCTCGTCAGTAGTCTAACATTTTGACTTGAAATATTACTGGGTATTTTATTTGGTGGCAATCTATATGCTTCTAATTGATTTGTTCAGTTGGTTTGGTTTCTCTTCTTTTTCTTCGCTGAAGAGAGGCTCAGTATCTGTGTGCTCTGAATTGCCTTTTTGTGACAGATTTTTGTATAGATTCGGCTGATCTCTTCTTTTCTCCAATTAGGGTGCCTATTGTTTTGTCTACATTGTCCTTTTTTTCCAAAACAACAACTGTTGGGTTTAAGATTTGTTTGGATGTTCTTTGCAATCATAAAGTTTTGTTTTTTTTACCCTTTACTTTACTACTCATCACGGAAAAGAATGAAATTTGTTTTGTATTATAGCCCATCAATCTTGGTAGTTGGATCTGATTGGGAGTCACTACTGGTATACATTGACTTTGCTTCAATACTAGTATAAGTTAGACCAAGTTATCAATTTCCTCTTTCTTTTTTATTCTCATAAACTGTTTTCTTTGTTTCTCCTCCCCTTTTGAGCTTAAATTGTTCAGTGTTTTTGCTCCAATGAAGTATCTATCAAGTTGAGTTCTTTTTCTATAAAAGATTTAAGAATATCTAGCTGTGTTCTTTCTACTGCTATTGCCTGCTCCTTTGTGACATCTACCTTTATAGGAGTTCACTTGTGATTAAAATTTGTAGTTGGGGTTCTTCTTTGTCGAATGTGGGAAAAGATTAAAACTTTTTCTGTGTGCTCATCTGCTTTCTCCATATTTTATTTTCCTGTTAAATCTCTTGAACAAAAGAATATGAATGTGAAAGGGGAAGAAACAGCAGCCAAAGACCTGAATTTTTTATTTGCGAGATGTGCTAAAAGTGAAACTTTACCAAAATATGTTAAATTAGCATATGGGACTGACCACTTTCTGCATCATTTTGGCACTTCATACCTGAATTTCTTGCCTGCAAATTGACATAGATTTTGTTGGCTTACATGATTATGAAAGCTTGAAGGGTAGCATTGGCGTAACTGGTAAAGTTGCTGCCATGTGACCAGGAGGTCACGGGTTCGAGCCGTGGAAATAGCCTCTTGCAGAAATGCAGGTAAGGCTGCGTACAATAGACCCTTGTGGTCCGGCCCTTCCCCGGACCCCGCGCACAGCAGGAGCTTAGTGCACCGGGCTGCCCTTTTTACATGATTGTTAAAGCTTAGAAGTAGTAATATGCTGGATGATGAATGATTTACCATTTCTCTTTGATTTTGTTTTCAGGCAGTGCTTTTGCTATTGGCATTCAGTCAATATATATTACACACTGAAGCTCAGTTTGATGGAGAATGCAAGCTCAATAAGCCTTTGAAACCCAGACCTCACAGTGTCTCAGTATTGGACTTTGGGGCTGTGGGGGATGGGAAAACTATAAATACTGTAGCTTTTCAGAATGCTATTTTCTATCTCAAGTCCTTTGCTGATAAGGGCGGCGCGCAGCTCTATGTTCCGGCTGGCAAGTGGCTGACTAGAAGCATCAATCTTACTAGCCACCTGACGCTGTTCCTGGAAAAAGATGCTGTTATTCTAGGATCTGAGGTTAGCCTCTGGTCTTTGCCTGAGGTGTCGTTTTTGCATTTCTAATCATATATATATGTTTTAGACAAAAAGGCTAGCCTATTTGCAAAGCTAAAACATTTTTTCCGAAAGAAAAGTTCAGCAGTCGTGTAATAGGTTCGATCAACCAGTGGTTTCAAGCGCGAGATACGTTGGCATTTTGTAATTAGATTCTGTGGCTTATTGTTTCACAAATAAAATGAATTCTTGACACATTTGTGGTAACTCCAGTAGAGAGGTTTTCTACATAATATGTTGTCAAGACAACATCAACTCAAATTTTGGTACATTTGTAGCTGCACTATGAAGGTTTAGATAAGTGCTTCAATTTTTATCTCTCTATCAATTTATCTATAAGCATCGCATGTCATGGTAAATATTCTATGTATGCAATATTCAGGATTATGCTCATTGGGATGTAGTTGAAGCCTTACCATCTTATGGCCGAGGTATTGAGGCACAATATGGAAGATACCGCAGCTTGATCGCTGGAAATAATTTAACTGATGTTGTAATAACAGGTAGGAATTCCTTCATTCAGTGAATTTATTAGTTTTATGTTTCTCTCTATCCCACCTTCATGCAACCTTCTAATTTCTAATAATTTTGCAGGTAACAACGGGACTATTGATGGCCAGGGCTCTATATGGTGGGAGATGTTCAATTCCCATTCCTTAAATTATACTCGACCACATCTAGTCGAGTTTGTTAGCTCCAAGAATGTTGTTATTTCAAACTTGACCCTTTTGAATGCTCCTGGTTGGAACATCCGCCCAGCATATTGCAGGTAACTTGTTATACCCCCTATAAGGAGTTTAATGTTTCATAAACTTTTTGCTTGTGTTTAAGATCTGGGTTTCGCTAATCCTTGAGAGAATTTCATGTTTTGCAGTAATGTGGTCATTCAGAACTTAACGGTTCATTCTCCACGAGACTCCCCATACACTAATGGGATCGTCCCAGGTTAGTTAAAAAGAAAATCTTTCACCTTAGTTTTTAAATGTCCAAGCTAATTAAAAGCTATGTTGCCTTAGACATTCACCAGTTAAGTGCTCATAGATGGGAGCTTCCTCAAGCACCACAAAAACAACTTTTTCAGATCAAATTTAGCTGCTCATAAAGATTAAAGGGCAGCTGTCCAGATACTGCTAAAATCTGAGTTCTGATGATATGAGCTTCCTTGTTGCATCTTAGACACAAATTTCTTTATACTTTTAGTTATGCTAATTAAAGTACAATAGCTACTTCTTCATGCCTGAGTAATATATATATATATATGATTGGTGCATGTACATTGTTCCCTGTATTTCTAAGAAATTGATACACTACTTGCTGACTTTAGACCCACATAACGCGCAACCTTATGTGCACTTTTTCAGATTCGTCTGAGCACGTCTGCATTGAAAACAGCAACATTACCATTGGTTATGATGCTGTCGTTCTCAAAAGCGGTTGGGATGAGTATGGTATATCCTATGGGAAACCTACCTCAAATGTCCACATTCGAGGGGTAAGATTACAGTCGTTTGCAGGTGCTGCTGTGGCTTTTGGTAGTGAGATGTCTGGTGGTATCTCCAATGTGCTTGTTGAGCACATTTCCCTACATGACTCCCTTTTCGGGATTGAGCTGAAGACAGCAAGAGGAAGGGGTGGTTACATCAAAGATATTCTCGTTATGAATGTGGTTATGGGAAATGTGCAAGTGGGAATCAAGGCCACTGGTTACTATGATTCGCATCCAGATGAGAAATATGATCCCTCTTCATTACCTGTAGTTAGTGGGATCACCTTTAAGGACATTGTTGGTACAAATATTTCGATAGCAGGCAATTTCACCGGGTTATCCGAATCTCCCTTCACTTCTATATGCCTATCAAATATCTCTTTGTCCATTTCTTCCGACCCTTCTACGCCATGGTTATGCTCTGCTATATCAGGTTCTTCTGAAAATGTGTTTCCTGAACCGTGTCCCGAGCTTCAGAGCTCGTTTTCCAGTTCTAGTTCTGCTTGCTTTGCTCTTCCAAACCCATACACTGAAGTTGCAGTATTATAATCTCCGATTGGAACTATTCATTCATTGAACCTGAACAGTGAGACACATATCTTGTTCAAGTTCTGGTGTACAATCTTTCAATAAGATGCAAGTCAGAATCTTCGGTACCATGGTTTCCCAAGTCAACGTCAAAACACTGGTGAGCAATCTCTTCGAAAAAGTAGCCTTGCATTGCACATCGTTCCTGTGTACAGCATCCGTTTCTTTTATTCATGTGTAAGAAAAGTTTTGGTAGTTCAGTAAATTCAGATACGTCGTTCCTTCTTGTGTCATTCTTCATTTGATTTTTTTAGTAAATTGTTTTACATTTGTAAATTGGGTTTATGGAGACTGCGGTAAGATTGGTTAATGCTATATGGTTGAAGGAGTGTTATTGTTGATTGTCATTGTTGCAATAAGAAGTTCTAGCCATTTGATTAAAACATATAAAGCTTGCTCTTTGGTCTTTGGTTCAACATCTCAGATTTAGACTCTTGAAAAGCTTGTATCAATGGTACCTTCACATACAGCACATTTTGAGTTCTATAATGCAGAACAGTCTAATGGTTCGCGAGTTTGGTCTCATTCCTCCCTTTTCTGTGTCCTTTGTCCTTGAGTTTTTTTGTTTTTGCCCCATTCGAATTAAGGTCCTGTTTGGATCCAATAAGCTTGTAACCAATTTCTATTGTCCTTAAACTTTTGGTTTTTGCCCCATTAGAATTAAGGTCCTTTTTGAATCCAATAATCTTGTAGCCATTTCTAGCTCCCCCAGTGACAGCATAATGCAATGAAAAGTTGAATTCTGAAAATGCAGATCTATGGTTGTGCCAGCACCTGTGCAGATTGTTCTGATGTCATCAGATATCTAGTTTTCAATAGATACAAACAAGCTTTTGGGAAAAGTTGAAGATAAGGAAGAAGTTGTTGAATATAAAAAAGATTTTTTTTTTCCCACTTTTTTTCATAATCAGTTTCAAATTTCACTTGAAGTAGACTTTCGGAATTTTTCCGGAATTTGAAAATCTCCAAAAATCTGTTTTTCAAAATTCACTTCAAAGCACTCGCAAAAAATCAAAAATAGCTTCAAATTGTATTCATGTCCCAATACAATTCTAATTTTCAAATACCATTTTCAACTTGAATTTATTTTTTACTTTTTTTTCCGAAATTCCACAGTTCTTATGTCCAAATGCCCACTTAGAAACAGCATTGCTGATTGCTGCTGCAAAAGCAATTTAGGAAAATGTAGTGGAAAGGGGTGTTCAAGAAAAAACTGAAAAATTAAATCAAACTGATATATTACATAAATTGATTTTAAATCGACTTGTATTTGGTTTGAGTTGCTTTGTTACAGAGTAAAAAAGATAGGTGGACAGTATTTGGTGAGGTATTTAATTACTTTTATGTTTATATCATTTTTTCCGAAATTTTTTCTTAATAGCTGCAGTGTTTTATCTGCAAACTGTAATTTAGAAAAAATAAAAATAAATGGATGTTGAAACAAATAGATTGCAAGTGCAATTAAGAATTTTGTTTCCACTTGTAGCAATTTAACTGCAGTGGGTTTATTATTATCATGGCCCAAACGAACTCAATACGCCTCTGGACAAAAAGAAAAAGAAAACAAAAGAAGAAAAAGTGGAAGGAAAAAATAAGTGAGTTTACCAACATTATCACGTGTTTGGTTGCGAAAGTTTGACCGAGTAATTGTAAGAGAAGACGACCTTCTCTATTCTCAGTTCTCACATATTGGAACTAAACAAAGATATAAAATGGAATAAAATAAACAAAATAGATATACATAGTCAAGGATCATAGAGGAGTAATTTTGGTGTCATGTAGATACACTAAAGGGGTGAAGCGCTCCCGGCCAATAGGTTCTTCATTCTTAGAGGCCGAAATGATATACACTCTCGTTTGTTCCGAATAATTTTGGATGTTATATCGAAGTGTTGTTATATAGAACATATATTATAACATAACATGAAAATTGGTTACGGAAAAGCTTGACTTTTATAGTGAAGTGTTGTTATATAGGGATGCTGTTATAGAGAGGTATGACCGTACACGACTTAGCTTTGGCGTGCGTTCTTGAAGGGATTCATCAATATCAAGTTCACCCGTAGCCGTCATGTCTAATAACACCCTGTTTCAATTACCAACTGATGATTACAAAATACTACAATACGAAGCCAGCCAAAACCAAAAAAAATAAATAAAAAGGAAAGAAGGTAGTTCTCTTTTGCTCTTATCAAAAAGACATTGTTATCCTAGATTTATCAAAAACGTTAGGATTTTCATTTAAATAACAGAAACTGAAGGAAGATTACCCTAGATTTCTCAACTTTCATCATTGTTATCATTTCTTGCATAAAATCACAGAATTCCTGTTAACATAGTGTAGAAACAGATGCAGTAACGTAGCAAGGAGGAAGTTGTTTAGATAGTTAGTGTACAACTGTCATAGTTGTTAGAAATAGAGTAGGGACCACTAGCTTGTTAGTGGAAGTTAATTATGTATATGTATATAAAACACAATGTACTGTTACATTGAGATATAGAGAAACAATTCCTCTCATTTTCTTCTTCTTCTTCTTCCTCAGCTCATTCCCTGCTCATGTTTCCACCATTGCTAGGGTTCTTCATCTCACGCATGCACTGAGTTCTAACATGGTATCAGAGCAAGAGCTCTGAATTGCAGCTCGCAAATCGATCCAATTCTGTAATTCTCCTACTCTCTCAAGTCTCTTCTTCGTTTCTCAAATCTGAAGCTTTAAGTCGTCGTCAACAATGGCGAATGAAAACTCTGAGCAGGAAACACCTGTAACTGTAACTGATACCTCGCAAATCTCGTCGGAGGATGAATTTGAAGAAGGAATCTCAGTTCCAATCACTCATCCTCTGTTTCTGGCATCCACTGATACGAGTGGAATTTCTCTGATCTCCTTTCAACTAACAGGGACAGACAACTTCTCGTTGTGGTATCGATCTATGAAAATTGCTCTTCTAGGTCGAAATAAGCTCGGAATGGTTGACGGAAGGTGGAAGAAGGAAAAATTTCGAGAAAAATACTGGTACCAGTGGGAGAGATGCAATGCAATTGTCTTATCGTGGCTGATGAATGCTGTAGCACTGGCCTTGATCAGTGGAATTGTTTATGCAACTAATGCACACACCGTGTGGATGGATCTACAAGAGCGCTTTGACAAGGTGAATGACACTAGATGCTATAACCTACACAAGGAAATTGCAACCCTAACTCAAGGTATCTCCTCTATATCTGTGTACTATTCTAAACTCAAGGATCTATGGGACAAAACTGAAGATCTAGTTTCCCATCCTGTTGTGACTGCCCTAAAACTAAGAAATTTATTGAACATTTGCACAAACAGAAGCTATATCAGTTCCTTATGGGATTGAATGACTCATACTCACAAGCTCGTAGTCAGATTCTTGTGATGAAACCTGTTCCTTCTGTGAATCAAGCTTATGCTATGCTAATGAGCGAGGAAAGTCAAAGAAATGTAGCAGGATCAACATGTATTTTAGGTGCTGGATCTAATGTCATTAGTGGTCACTATGAATCTACAGCACTATACAGTTCCAAGGCTGATAATAGACTAAAACGCAGAAAGAATTTCAATCTATACTGTGACTTCTGTAAACTAAAAGGTCATAGCAAGGAGAATTGCTATAAAATAGTTGGTTATCCAGCTGACTACAAGTTTAAGAAGAAAGGGGGAGCTGGTGCTTATAATGCAGTAGCTGAGTATGGTTCAACATCTAGTAACTACAATGCACCACCTGAACTAAGTCCCTACACACAGCCTAGTGGACAGCCAAGCCCTGGCTTTCAGATGACTACTATGCAGCCAAGATCTGTTCAAACCTTGCAACACAACAGTCACACTGCCAATATGGAATTACAACCACAACATGGAAGAGGTGGTGCCTTTCCTTTTACCAAGGAACAGTATGACCAGATTATGCAAATTTTGAATAGCAATACAGTCAGCTCTACCTCAGCAAACAACAACAGTCCTACATCTACATCTCAGGCTCATGCAGCAGGTACTAGTGTTGCTTTACTAGCTTCTAATAGTCCATAAGAATGGATCATTGATACATGGGCAACTAATCACATGGTGTCTAATCTCAATCTATTAGATAAGACAACTGTAATTGCTCATCCTATTCCTTGAAAGGTTCTCTTGCCAAATGGAGATGTCACACAAGTAACTCATGTTGGAGATAGCCAGATATCAAACAACAACACACTAAAAGAAGTACTTTATGTACCAAAGTTCAAGTATAACCTGTTGTCAGTGTCAAAAATGACAAGGGATCTAAGGTGTTTTGCCTCTTTCTATCCTGATTTTTGTGTGTTTCAGGAGCTCTTCAATGGCAGGGTGAAGGAGATTGGTAGAGAAAGAGATGGCTTGTACTTTCTACAACAACATGGAAATAAGAGGTTGACTGTTGTGTCCTTGGCAATTATTAACACAAAGGCTGATCTCTCAGTCAGTTCCAATGATATTGTCTTATGGCACAGGAGACTTGGTCATGTGTCCATTTTTTTTGAAGAGACTATTCCCTGTTAAGCTAGCTAGTATTACTAATGCCATTAATAATTGTTGTGTGTGTCCTTGTGCTACACTAACCAGGACACCATTTCCTCACAGTAGTATCAAGAGTACTAGTGCATTTGATCTAATTCATGTAGATGTTTGGGGACCTTATAAAACTGCAACCTTTGATGGTTATAGATGCTTTCTCACAGTAGTTGATGACTTCACTAGAATGACTTGTGTAACACTCCTCAAATCTATAGAAGTTTCAAGACCCGCTAAATATAGAATTTAATTTTTATAAATCTTAAATTATACTTTTACTACAGATTAAAAATCTTTGTGATTGATTTTGAGTTACTTCCCTATTTATAAATGGTTGGATATATAATTATGGGAATATTAATAATTTTAATATTATTAATTATTAAAAGTGGGTATCATCAAATATTAGTTAAGTTAAAACAAAACAAAAAAAAAGAAAAGCAATAAAAACAAAGAAAAAAGAGAAAAGGAAAGAAAAAAAGGAGAGGGGGCCCATAAAATGGTTGGAAACGTATTCTTTAGGGCAAAAGGCTTGAAAGCCTTAATCAAAATACAATTCTGAAGTCTCAAAAGTCTAACAAAACAGAAGCTTAAACTCACGCAAGCCTCATACAAAGAAAAATGAACAGAATGAGAAACAGAGGCAGCAAGACGATTTACGCAGACAACGAAAATCCTAGGGTTCTTTACAAAGCATTAATTCTTGAACCCAGGTATATAAAAATTTCCTATTGTCAATTATCCAAAAGTAGTAGCAGGTAAGAATTGAATAGTTAATTCCCTTCTTCCTCTATATCAACAATAAATTTCGTATTTAGGTGTAGTACTTTAAAATTGATTAAAATGCACTGGTTGTTGTAGAATCGATTGTTTAACTGGTGTCAATTGGACTGGGCCTACGTATTGGCTTGAGAAGTTTTGAGGTGAGTTGATATAACCCTTTACTAAAGTAGGTTAACTCACAAAAGCACGCACACAAGGTGTTTGATGAATTGCATAAAAGAGTTAATATATACTAAATTGGAGTAGTAAGTACCTATTAGCTTAGAATTATTTTCTAGCTAAAGTTTAGATGATTATTTGGATATATGTGCATAAATTTCAGATTTTTATGTTATTCTTTGTACTTAATTGGAGTAGTAAGTACCTATTAGCTTAGAATTATTTTCTAGCTAAAGTTTAGATGATTATTTGGATATATGTGCATAAATTTCAGATTTTTATGTTATTCTTTGTACTTAATTGGAGTAGTAAGTACCTATTAGCTTAGAATTATTTTCTAGCTAAAGTTTAGATGATTATTTGGATATATGTGCATAAACTTCAGATTTTTATGTTACTCATATATGCCATTTTCATGTTGAAAATTCATGAAGGATCAAGAACCTTTATAAATACTTTTGAATGTTTATTTCATTCTTATGTCATGCCTTACATTTAAGGATACCAATATGAGTATGTATAAAAGATTTAGACTTGAAAAGTCACAAGAAGAAGTTTTAGAAAGAAGAGATTTTGGGAGTATCCTTTATTCTGAGAAGGGGTCATCGTCCAGGCCGAGGGTCCTGACCAAGGCGTTGGCTTCCTGAAACTACTTGTGCCAAAGTAGGGAGCACACGAGCCGAGGGTCTCGTTGCTGAGAAATTACTTAGCCATGCTAAGGTATGATACATGAGCGCTGAGAATCATGAATCGAGTGGCACCTCGTGAATTGGGCCTATTCGATCAGGTTGGGATCGAACCCGTGCCGATCATACGGGGACTGAGACAGAATTAAGTCAGAATAGTAGGAACTCCCAAAGTATAAAGTGAAGTATTTTTTTATATAGAAAAGAAAAAAAAAGAATTTCTTTTAGAATATTCATAAACTGCTATTATGCGATTATTTAGAATTATTCTTATAAGCTTTATGCTTTACATGCATTTAGAACCTTTGCTCATAATGTATATATTATTAAAGTTTTGCCCCCTGTTGTTGAGACTCACTGAGTACAATGGATGGTACTGATGTTCTCTTTTGGGAACCTACGTTGTTCTGCGGTACAACGTAGGAACCGGATTTGCAGGCGAGCAGGCTACGAGTTAGGACTTCCTTCTCTTCCCCTGCTATTGGTGAGCTCCGCTTTTGTTCGTGGAGTATTCCTTAGAGTCATCTTTATTTAGTTATTTCTTTGTTACTTAGAAAACTGACCAGGAAATCTCATGTCCTGAGCAGTGCGTCAGTTTATCAGTACAGGCTTCATAGACATAGTCATTGGGTTGAGATTCAGATGTTATTTTATAATAACTTAGCAATAATTCAGTAGTTGCTACGAGTAAAGTTTTGGAGTTGATTTATTTAAATATTTGAATTAATCAAAAGTATTTGGTTAGAGTATTGCTTTGTTGCATATAAAGTTTGGAGTTATAATAGGTGTGATAAGCAGAGATGGTTCGCTCGGTCATATTTAGTGATCGAGTGCCGGTCTCGGCTTGTTCAGAAAATGGGTCGTGACAACTTGGGTATTCTTACTGAAAATGAAATCTGATGTGTGTGTTGTACTGCCACAGTTCCTTGCTTTTGTTCACACTCAGTTCAATAAAATAGTTAAAATGGTGAGATCTGACAATGGCTCTGAGTTTCTAAATTCAGTGTGTAAAACTGTCCTCAATAAGCTTGGTATTCTTCATCAAACCACTTGTGCATACACTCCACAGCAGAATGGGGTAGCTGAGAGGAAGCACAGGCATCTCCTAGAAATCACCAGAGCTCTGAGGTTTCAAGCTCACATTCCTATAAGGTTTTGGGGTCATTGTGTTATCACTGCAGCCTACTTGATCAACAGACTACCATCTTCAGTGTTGAAAGGATGTTCACCTTATGAGCTGCTGTACAAGAGGAGGCCTCAGCTAGAACACCTTAGGACTCTAGGCTGTTTGAGCTTTGCTAAACAAGTGCAGGAGACAGACAAACTTATGCCTAGGGCCAAGCCTGTTGTTCTCATGGGGTTTTCAGATATTCAAAAAGGCTATATTCTCTTAGATATTTCTACACAACAATTCTTTGTCAATAGAGATGTTGTCTTCTAGGAGAATGTTTTTCCTTTCAAAGACTCTTTGAATGTCTATCCTCCTATATTCACCTCCTTTCCTTCACCTCCTAGTTGTGAAGAGGTGTACAGAGATGTCTGTCCCTCTCCTCACATGAATTCTTCTGCTTCTTCTTCTGGTGGTTCTGCACCTTGGTCCATTGCCCCTGAGCCTTGCCCCACACTGAGAAGATCACTCAGAACTAAGCATCCTCCATTGTGGCTTAAGGACTTTGTCATTCAGCCCTCTACCACCACTACACCATATTCCATAGCCAACTATGTTTCTTATGACTCTCTGTCTCCTTCTTATCAGTCCTACATTGCAGCCTTCTCATCCATTGTGGAACCCTCTTCTTATGATGAGGCTGTTCAGGACCCAAGGTGGGTGGAGGCTATGAAATCAGAAATTGCAGCCTTGGAAGCTAATCACACTTGGGAGGTTGTCTCACTTCCTCCAGACAAGGTGCCTATTGGTTTCAAATGGATCTTTAAATTGAAGTACAAGGCTACAGGGGAGGTTGAAAGGTTCAAAGCCCGATTGGTGGCCAAGGGGTTCAGCCAGCAGGAATGTATTGATTATCAAGAGACCTTCAGTCCAGTTGTTAAGATGGTCACAGTTAGGACCATACTTTCTGTTGCAGCTTCTGAGCATTGGCATATCCACCAAATGGATGTGTACAATGCTTTCCTACAAGGAGATTTGCCATATGAAATCTATATGACTCTTCCTCAGGGCTTTCAGAGTCAGGGGGAGAGTAGGCCAGTTTGCAGACTCTTGAAATCCTTGTATGGTCTCAAACAAGCACCCAGGCAGTGGAATGCCAAGTTATCAGAGGCACTGATCAACTTTGGATTCATACAAAGTCAACATGATCACTCCTTGTTTGTACAAGGCACTGGTAGCTGCATTGTGGTTATATTAGTCTATGTGGATGATATGCTCATCACAGGACCTGATTTGAGACTAGTAGAAGAAACCAAGGCTACACTCCAGAAGACCTTTAAGATGAAGGACCTAGGGGAGTTGAAATACTTCCTTGGGATAGAGTTTGCAAGATCACCACAGGGTATTCTAATGCATCAAAGAAAATATGCATTAGAACTTGTATTTGAACTTGGCTTAGGTGCTGCAAAGCGTGCTACTACACCTCTTGAAGCAAATGTGAAACTCACTACTCCACAGTATGATGAACACACAGGCACAACCAACACCTTGGATGATGCACTACTACCAAATGTAACTAGCTACCAAAGGCTACTGGGCAAACTCCTATATCTGACAGTAACAAGACCACACATTGCATTCAGTGTTCAAACTCTTAGCCAGTTTATGAAAAGCCCAAGAAATCTCATATGGAGGTAGCACTCAGGGTGGTCAAGTATGTTAAGAATCACCCTGGGCAAGGTGTACTTCTATCTAGTCAGAAGAGAAGGGTTATCTCAGCCTTCAGTGATGCTGATTGGGCAGCATGCCCATTGACTAGAAAGTCTGTGTCTGGATTTTTTATAAAGTATGGTGACTCGCTGATATCATGGAAATCAAAGAAGCAAAGCACTATCTCTAGAAGCTCTGCAGAGTCAGAGTACAGAAGCATTGCAACAACAGTGGTTGAACTAGTGTGGATATTTGGGTTACTCAAGGACATTGGAGTGGTGTTTGAATTGCCAGCTACTATCTTCACCGACAGTAAAGCAGCCATACAAAGAGCTGCTAATCCTGTCTTTCATGAAAGAACCAAACACATAGAGATTGATTGCCATTTCATAAGACAGAAAATTCAGCAGGGACTAATCAATACAGAGTTTGTGGGAACCAAAGAACAGTTGGCAGATGTGCTGACTAAAGGACTGCCTAGAGCTCAACATGAGTACTTAGTGTCCAAGCTAGGATTGTTGAATATCTTTACACCACCTAGCTTGAGGGGGAGTGTAGAAACAGATGCAGTAACGTAGCAAGAAGGAGGAAGTTGTTAGTTAGATAGTTAGTGTACAACTGTCATAGTTGCTAGAAATAGAGTAGGGACCACTAGCTTGTTAGTGGAAGTTAATTATGTATATGTATATAAAACACAATGTACTGTTACATTGAGATATACAGAAACAATTCCTCTTATTTTCTTCTTCTTCTTTCTCAGCTCATTCCCTGCTCATGTTTCCACCATTGCTAGGGTTCTTCATCTCACGCATGCAATGAGTTCTAACACATAGTAACAATAATATACAGTTACTTGTTTGCAGCATCAAAAGCACAGTTTATAAGTTACAGCTGAAATGGGACAGGTACAGAAGAAGAAAGAAACTGATAATATCATCTCCCATGAGGTGAAGCAACCCTGTGTCATATAGTGATCTCTTCCTCTTGTCCGACAGAACTGCAAACTAATTAATATCTTTCATTAGTGAAGCAACTGCTTTCCTTCCAGAACTTTCATGCACTTTATTTGTATTTGGATGTGTTGGGGTACATATCTTTATTTATGGTTTAAGTGGGTGAAAAGTTTAGTGAGACAACCCAAAATAAATTAGGACGAATCAGAGGTTATTACCTTGTGAAATATACTAGATTACTATTTTTGCGGACATGAATTTTTGTGTGACATAATTTATTAAAGACTAATTAAGATTTAATTGAGTGTTAAACAATGGAGAGTTTACCCAGCGCGCACAGAGTGCTAACCCGAAGGGCGGAGACTGTGGCAGAGGCTATAGCATCTCCGGGTTTTTTTAGGGTTCCCAAAAAAAAAGCGGTGATCATGAGGTCACTGAAATCCGAACTTGAACATTACAATTTGCATTACTGATCTGTTCCCCTTGTAGTCAATTTTGCTTTCTTGTGATCCCAACTCTTAATAATCTGTCTTAAATCTACTTTTGTCTTCATTGATATCATCATTAAACATACCTTGGACAAAATTGTTTCCCACTATTAACTTAAGGGACGGGTGATTATAATCTGTACAGCCAGGACATCAACAAAAGTAAGAATAAGAAAAAAAATTAATGGTTTCATAATGAACTTTGGTTTTCTACTATAAAAAATGGAAGACAATCAAACTATCGAATATGTGCAAATTGTACATGTCGAATCCTCAAATGTGCACAAAAAGTAGTACAGCCTTTAAGGATCTTCACATTGCTACTTACCAAGGTTTCCAACAAACTGGAACTCTACAAATCTAATGATGTGAACATTACACGCAATGGAATTATTGCCTCTTTCACATGCTCAAAATACACCATTTTGAAGTGAACAAAAAATCAAATACGCCAACGAGACTCTGTGTTAGAAAAAGCAAAAACAACTCTCCCACGCACTCCCATAATAACAGAAAGAAAAAATAATAATAAAAGAATTGAAAGTAGCTTATTAGCTCACATCCCTACTTCCTGTTTCCTGCTTTTCGCTTCATTTCAGTTGGCACGGCCGGCCTCCCATTCCGTAGAGGTGTGTGCCCAATTCCATTTGTCTTTCGTGATGGCGAAGGCCCTCCTTTGTAAACCATGTTCCTGCCACAGTCAGCAAACAAAATATTAAAGATAAATGAGCCCGAATAGAGTAGAACAGATATTGAGGATTCTTATAACCGACCCTTACTAGTTTGGGGATTGAAATACAGTTGATTGACTGATTAACTACTTATTATGTTATTCTTGAAGAGCAAATAAATCACACAAAAAAAAAAAACGTGAATGAGAGAGCACCTTGTTTCTGGGCTCTTTACATGCTTTGCGTTTAGTCTCTGGATCTTTGACTCATTCCCATTGGTGAAGCTGTTCAATTTGGAATTATTGAATTGCCAAAGCAAATCTGGCTCAGACGAATCACTGGTTGTGGCATCAAATTCTTCAAGGTCATCAGCAGGAGTAATGTCAAAGTGGTCACTCAATGGGAAAAGATTACTCGATTTTTCTTGGCATAATAATTTAGATGATTCCGAAAGATATTTCTGAGCAAAGACATCAGACATGCCTTTTTCAGATTCCCAACATCCAAAGGGTTTTCCCACTCCATTGATAGAGTCCTGTTTGTTCACCATGACTTTGTCTACCCACTCACCTGTGCCCATGTCTTTATCATATCCCACATAATTTTCACAGGGACTGTTGACTGGTGGCCAGGAAGGGGAATTTCCAAGTAACTCATCAAGGTCAAAGCTTTGCGTCTTTTGTCTGAATGCAGAATTACTTGATACCTGCAAATTAGTAGATGTCAAAAGCAAACTCTTGCAGATTACAACCGCATGCATCAAAATGGATGCTCCTAAAAAACTTCACTAACAACGTCTTACGCTCTAGTTTTGGAATAAACGTATTCCAATCTCATGCTCTTCCGAGCAGGGGCGAAGCCACATAGCTCCAAGTCCAAGGAGTGTCAACTGATACCTCTTCGCCGGAAAACTACGTTGTTTAGATAAGTAAGAATTAATTTATATATATATACACACACGCAATGCATTGAATCCCCTTGACTTATTCGTGTATTTACTTCTTTAAATTTTGACACCCTTTAATGAAAATCCTGGCTCCGCTACCGCTTCCAAGTATTGCCTTATATATTTATTGTTTGAGCTAAAACACCACTAAACACTAATAGAACTCAATAAATTATTCTTCCATTCACGAGTTTGCATATTGCTATAAATAATTGCACTTAGAGAGACAACCAAGTCCAGAGATTCTACCTCTATATTGCCTACATCGTCCATCGGTCTCCTCTGGATGTGTGAATCAGCCAATTTCTCTCTCTTCTGTGGATTAGATTGAAAGGGCGATGGCTGCATGTTACACGGACTGCTCATCATATGCTGCATGGGAACTGACTCCTCTTCTTTTTTTGCCAAAGCAGCTTTAAGAGTTGCAATCTGATACAACAATGATATCGTTCTTTAGCACAAACCAACTTAGATTCGGAACAAAAGCAATATTAATGGATAAAAGGAAAAACGAGAAAAGATTGAATACCTGTTCTTTGAGCTCTTTGACATCTGCAGAGTCTTTATTTACTCGTGCAGCGCCTAGTTCAACAGTAGAAACACGTTCTGCAAATTTAAGTGTGCTAATTGTTTCTCCTACAGCTTCAGGTTCAGGGCTTATGTGAACAAACATCAGAGTTTTGGCTTGCCCTCCTACAATAAAGTCACATCCCCAAAAAACCAATCTTTACTATACAGAAAGAGAAGAGTCGCAAGAACAATCAAATTTCATCATTTAAACTTATATCCTACCTAGTGAGTCTTGCAGTAGCTGTGTAAGTTTGCTGTTACGGTACGGGACATGTGTATTCTTTTGGGCAAGGGCAGAGATAACATCACCCAAAGCTGAAAGAGACTTGTTAATGTGCTGAGCCTCTTTAAGCCTATCTCCTGTTACTTCAGATTTGTTGACTCTCTCACTTCCTGCAAGATCAACCAAATGCATACAACCACGAAGAATAGCTCCAGAAGTCAAGTCTCGTCCCTGAACATGAACAGTTAGGCAACTGCACATTCAAAACCAGATAGAGTCAGCATCTCCACGACAAGTTTCTTAAAAAAAAAAAAAAAAGTAAAAAAGAAGGTTCTGCATTCAAACCTGTGGGAGCGGCTACTGCGGTCGTTGAGTGCTGTTGCACCCACTGAACGATTCTTTTGCCCTAGATTCATCAGATCAATAACGTCGCAAGTTGAAGTTACATGAACCAAGCATGCATCTGGTACAGTTAGTCCTTGAGAAGCACTACGGATTTCTAATGTAATTATGGGTTAAGGAAAGCAGGAAGTTTAAGCACGATGCTCTAGCATAAACATGTGTAATAATAAAATCATATAGCTTAAAGTTACTTAAAAGTTTTGAATATAAGAATGTTTGTTGATGCAAAACAATCAGTATGCAGAAGAAGAATAGTAAAGATCATCAAAACATACGTCACAAGATATTGAGAAGGATATCTTTTGTTTACACCATCAGAAACTAGGAGATCCCTAACTTGCTCATTGTATATCTCGATCATCTGTACAGACACATCATAGTGGAAGGTATCCTTTCTTTGTTCTGCGAGAAGGAATAGATCGCCTAAAGCCCTATAGTTTACTCCTTGACTTTGTTCTGTGATATTCTTAGGCCCCGTCTGGATACAACAAAAGAGCTTCTTAGCACATACAACAAAGAAAACATGATTTTGCTTATAATGGAAATATTTTTCTTTAACTAACCATTGTGTAGGTTTTTCCTGATCCTGTTTGGCCATAAGCAAAAATGCAGACATTGAAGCCATCAAGAACTGATCTTATCAGTGGTTGCGTATCAGAAAACACCTCGCCTGCCAAAAAGTAAGACAAGTAAAACCCACTGAAGAAAGATGAGGATAACATAATTAAAAGTATAGATGCCAATTTTTATAAAAGGTAAACACAAATGTCGTTTTACCAATAATTACGGATGCAACATTCTATACTGTTCTATGTTTGCCATTTACCTTGAGTAGCGCAGGATCCAAATACTTTATTGAAGTTGAAAGATTTTTGCCCTTTTCCGTTCTTTGACGGAACACTTATTGTAATGGTGCCATCTTCTATGTGATCCACAGAACTAGCACAATTAGATTGCCCGGGCAAAAAGGGTCTTACTCGACAGTAAACCCTTATGCTTCCTAATTGAGCAAAAACAGACAACCTTCAGTTCATGGTTGAGTAAGAGATGAAGAAAGACACAATGATGGTTTAATATATAAGAATGTTACCTTTAAGATCCTGAACTTGATTATAAAGCTTGCGATTTTCTTCAAGAACTCTATGATAACCAGAAGCTGCATGAGCTAGGCCATTTATGTGCATGCCTATAGTGCAAGATATAATTAGGTGGAAACAAAGTCATCTCAATAAATGCACATAAACCCAAAAAAAAAAAAAAAATGAGAGAGAGAGAGAGAGAATTGTGCAATATCCCTACCAATATTATGCATTTCCTCATGAAACTTCATCTGCATGAATTGCATACCCGCTTTGGTAGTCAAAAGAGTTTGCTTCAGGTTCTACAATAGGGCATTAAAGCTCATAAGGGTTTAGCGGAGAAATTGTTTTTTCCTTGTTCGTGGGTCAAATCGTGCCCGGCAATCTTCAGTTCTTACCTTAATGTCACTTTGCTGTTGGTCAACAATGGCGTATTGCTTCATGTATCTTCTTTCAAGTTCTTCATTTGGCAAGGAGTCCTCTTTCTTCTCTATGATCACATTTCTTTGGTCAGCCTAATTGAGAAGGGAAGAAAAATTTGCAAGTGTGAGGTGTCATGTCTTTTGACATGAAATGATACTTTCTGATTAAAAACAAGTGAATTGTTTCTTTCAGCAAGATCTACAAAATTAGAAACATCACCTTTGCACTGTCAGAAGTATATCTCACGGTGGATTTGTTACCACAAGAACCAGTTGAATCATCTGTAGTTGCTTTACTCTGATGGAAGGATGTTAAATGGTGTGTCAGAGCATAAGACGATGCATATAGATAACATCAAAAAAGTAGAGATACTGTTCTACTTTTTTTTACTAGTGTAACAATAGTTATTGTAAGAAGGAATCGAAGCGCGGATTGCAATAAAAAGGTGTTTACACAAGTATAGAAAGGGAAAGAGAAAACAGAGAACTGAATCAACAGTGACTACTACTAAGGAAGCAGATAATCCAACTTCAACAAATGAATAATCTTGTAATTCAGCAGATAGATGAATGATGAACTTACTAGTTCAATTTTGCTTGCAACGCGATGCTCAAATTCCTGAACAACCTTATTCAACACCGATTCCACAAGCTGTAGCATGCACAATGTTGCTGGATTTTAGAACAAATGGCACTAGATACCAAGTACAATCACACATAATAGCTAATACATCGCCAACAGTTTACAGGTGAGTCTGCAGAAAATTCTACCACAACAGGCATATCATAGATTAGGTTAACCAAATATTTCCTATCACTAAACTAAAAAACTATGGAGATTGCTTTTCTAGTTACTACTTAACATATTAGCGAAAAAATCTCGGGTGCAGCACTTGATGGTCATGAATTGTAATGACTTAAGACAATACCGGAGGATAAACAAAAAGAATTTTAAAGGCATCATAGAATATGAATATATTGGAATCAACCATATTTGAAGAGCTATCATGTACATTGCTTTAAATGCAGAAGGTCAGTATTTCTGGTGACGAGGAACCAAAAGATACCAAACTTGTGAAGTGAAAAAATACATGTGGTTTACAGGAAGATCAAGAATGAAGATGTTCAACATTTTTTTAGATGTCAAGCTAACAAGGACAAGGTCTAGAGTTATAAGGTCCCTTACACACTTTATCGTAAAATTAACTTGCCATCTCCAATTTCACTGACAGAGAATAATTAACTCCACAAGTAAAATCAATGTCAAGGAAATAACATTTACGAGAACTAAATCCTGAGGCATGTACGTCTAACAATTTCCTACTAGTCTAAATTCACTTGATTGCTTTCCTACTAGTCTAAGTTCACTTGATTTCTTGCTTGACACTCCCTACTTTAGCTGAAAAGAGTGAACAGGTGAAAGTACTTTGAAGAAAAATGATGTAGGAGCAAGAAGATTGAGGGTTGAGTAGAATTGCTTCAGCATTACACTACAAAAATCTAAAAGGAAAGTTTATCAAGCTTGATGAATTTCAACTTACATTAGGAACCTCTTCGGGCCTCTTATCAGTTAGAATTGCACGAACAAGCATGCTCAAGGAAGAGCTGGCCTGTAAAGATAAGATTTGATTAATGAATTGAATGACAATTCATTATTCTCAATGCATGTAATGCCTTTTTCAGTCAAGCAAAGCTTACCTACCGTTTTATTTTTTTCAGCTTCAATTGATGCACCGTTTATAGGTTTCTCATACATATTCCTTGACAAAGAATTTGTGAATGGCTCAGAATTTTTCCGCACAATTTGTTTCACAGATGCATTGGATTTTATATTTCCACCGAATTTCCAAACTCCTGTACCACCTTCTTGCTTCCATTCGCTGTAGGATTTAAGTCCCAAAACACAATTCACGATCCTTGATGATTTTCCTCCCTGATAATTTTCAAGAATGCAGCTTTATCACATATCTTGTAGAAGTTCCAATGACAATCATGAGAATGCCTATACAACTAAACTAGGACTCAATTTAGTATGAGAGGTATGAAGACGCTGGAAATAGATATTCCCGGTTATAATTATAGACTACTTTGGCTCCAATTAAATGCACTAACAATTTACCTGCTCCAGATCAGATGCCTCAAACAAAGGAATCCCCAATTCTTGCACAGCAACCAAAAAATTTCTAACATTCTCAAAGTACTGGTATGCAGAAAGGGCAGCTCCATCTGAGATAACTGCAGAGTCACATGGACTTTCAACAACCTGCAGTAGTTGATCAATGATAAAGGTCAATCTCGGTACCGGAAAAAACAACAATTCAAGGCCCCCAACAAATAGGTCTAACTTGCAATTTCATTTTTGAATGAGCAATCTCCAAATTCATGGCTGAGGGACAGTTGATTGATTGGTTAATTTCCTTTATTGAAATTACCTTGGGCACAGCTCCAGGCTGAATTTTATTGAGTACATTGCAAAGGATCATTCCACTCCTTAAACCAAGCCTGAATTCTTCCTCAGAAGGTTCAGCTGGCAAATTTTTAGCTCCCACAATTCCAACTATCTTCCTCAGCCATGCTGCTGCTTGATACCTCTTTATTGCTACAATTCAAACATCACAAATTCAGAAACAGTAAAACAAATTCCCAATTTATGCTTTTTTTTTTTTTTAAATTACACGAGCAGCCTAGTAACAATGGATCTCTAGCCTAATCACACTTATGATCAGCCACAAAATAAAAGACACACACACACAAAAAAAAAAAAAAAAAAAAAAGTTACCAGCTTCCTCTGCTTTACGTGCATCCACTAAATCAAGATCTTTTGATGGGTTATTGCCATGCTGCTGAAGAACATCCTCTACCACAGACAATGCTCCATAGGCGGCCATTTTTATTTATTTTAGAAAAGAAAAGCTACCTTTACTTGATTATAAATTCCTATTGTACCAAAAAATTAAGAAAACCCCCAAGTGGTAAATTGTTTGAAAGAAGCCAAGTTGAGTGTTCAGAAAGAAGATCTAACTGATTGGAAAAAGGTATAATAAAGCTCACAGAGGATAAACAGGTACAATTTTATAGTTGTATAGACTATGTGAACCCTAGTAAACTGAACAAGAAGATACTACAAAGTAGTAGTAATGGTGTGTTATGGAGTCTGTGCTGGTTCGCTTTATTTGTGTGCTTTTTTTTGCCCACACCTCAACTCTCTCCCCACGAAATGCAAGAAAAGCGCTTTATTTTTGCTTTATAGGAGTATACAGCATAAAACTGAAAGACTGCTTGCTGCTTTGAATTTGTAGAATTTAGAGCCACGTAGTTCCGAGCCTCATTCTGAAGTCCGAACCCATTTCAGCCCAAATTGAAACCGTACTCTCTCTGTTGCCTTCTAAAAACGGTAATTTAGTTTTAGTGCTTACACAGCGCGTATGGTTAAATATTTGAATCAATTAACACATGGCCTTTGAATTTTTTAGTAAAAATTGCACCAATTACTCTTTTGATTACATACTATTTTTTTTAATGTTGAAAAAAATGCATACTTCTTTTTAATTATAAATGTATAATTTAAAGATTAAAATTCAGTATTTTTAATCAAACTGAGTCGCGATTTTATTGTCACTGCTGAAGATGTGATGCTTGTAAAAGGGTGAGGCCTGAACTTGAACTAGCCACCTTTTACTATAAAATATTAACTTTACATGAACAAGTTAAAGAAGATGAGAAGCTGGAAAAACTTCTCGTGACCGAGCTGAGAAACACAATGACAATAAAGTTGATTTTTCAAGGTGGCTCGTTACGCCAGAATTATAATGCAATAATTATTTATGTGTTGATTAATATTAAAGGGACTATTATGTGGTGATTAATCAGTGGCGGATCCAGGATTTTAAAGTTATGGGTGCTCGCCGAAAAAAAAAAACTTCAAAAGAAGAGAAAAAATGAATTTACTTGTGGGTGCTCGCTCAATATTTATCTGAATATTTGTACAGTTGCCTATATAAATTTATTAATATGGTCAAAGTTAATGGGTGCTTAAGCACCCACAACTCCTTATGTGCATCCACCATTGTGATTAATAGAAAAATTATTATACAAAAATTACTTACTATTGTTGTCTCTAAATAGTTAATTCTCATTTTTTTAATATACGTATTTTATTTTACGTTTTATTCCGCGTAAAATAATATATAAATCCTTATATAATTAAATACAAAAAATAAAATAAAGATACCGCTAACAAATGATGCATTAGGTATGCCATGATCATTTTTTTTCTTTCTTATGCACCCAACCAAATGTTACATTATTTATGCAATAAGTATTTCTTCTTATTCAATCAAGCAAACAATATACATTATTTTATGTGAGATTTTATGTTGAGATTAATTACGCCGATACAATTAGAGGTGGGCATAGTTTAGGCAAACCCAAAATCCAAACCGAAATTCGAATTTTTTAAATTTTTGGTTTGGATCTACGGATTATGGATTAGATTTTGGATTTAATTTTTAATTTCTTTGGATTTCGGATTGGATGTTGGATTTGGTACTTTGGATTTTTGGATATCCGAAAATCCGAAAATTTTATACTTAAGTTTGGTCCATTATCTATATGCCAATAATAATAAGTTAAACACCCTATCCATTAGATATTATTTCATATATGCAATATTAATTACTAAGTTACTGTCAGAATAAATTCTATTTGAACATGGTTTTACTATTACTACTTCTTATCGGCCATATTAATGTCTCTGTTACATTTTCTTGATAGTAATTTCATTACCCGAATACTTTATTTGGATGATTGCGGTGAGAATGAGTAACTTTTCAGGCAATTTAACATGAGTACTTCATTTGGATACTCATTTTTGTAATAAGAAGAAACATGGCACCTTATAAGCTCAAAATCGAAAATCCAAAATATCCAACCCGATTAATCCGAAACCGAACTTAAAAAATCCAATCCAATCCGAGCTTATTTGGATTGGATTTGGATTATCATTTCTTCAATCCGAAAACCGAAAGTCCAAACCGAAATTTTATATTTAATTCGAAATGTCCGAACGCCCACCCCTAGATACAACCAGCAAAATGACCCCTAAAGTGTGTGAAATCTTGTATCAAAGATGTTGGTCCGTCCATGCTTATAAAAGCTACGAGATTCGAACTAGTGGCATTCTAGTTTGAATTATAACAACTCGACAATTAAATTGTTTCACAAGACAATCGGTCTGTGCTTTACAAAAAAAAAATAAAAAGGAAAATCACCAACAATTTGAGATAAAGTCGTTACTTGATAAATTCTAAAAAAGAAATTAGTATGGAGGCTACAACGTCAATTTTGTACAAATAATTTAATAAAAATCAATCTTGTCGTTCACACGAATAAATATACTCTAAATTTGGTATGATGACAAGAAATAAAGGTGGGTATGATGTCAAAAGTTATATAAGGGGAAGGAATGTCTTTTGAGTAGAGATGGTGATTTGCTGGGCTCCTCCATTTTCATAAGATTCGTACCACAATTTAGAAGAATCCGATGTGGTAACGGAGAAGGCAAAAAAAGTAAAATAATAATAATAATAACAACAATAAATTAAATTCCAAAAAAGTTAGAACGAAACTTGCTATACCAAGAGCATCAAGCAACAGCTGCATTTTCAAAAGTGTCGAGTTTTGTTTTCTTCCCTTTTTGTCAGTAATTATTCAGTTCAACTCTATAAAAAGAAAAGTCTTATCTTTATGTTCACATTATAAATGGAGTAATAAATTGTGCAATTTGAAATTTCAAAATTTGGCCGCACTGCAAACAATGAATATGTCACCTTCGAAACAATACGACTGTTTATTATTAACCCACCAAATACCTAAATATGCATCTAATGCAATAGTTGAGAATTCATTTCCCCCCGAAACTACATTCAAAAAGGATTTCAAATTTTTGCTACTATTCCTAGTCAAGTTATTTGATTATTAACTACTTTCCTATCCAAAGGAATCGCTAGATTTGTTAATTACCAGTGTGAATTTGGGTATCAAATTCTTATGCATTTAAATTAAAACTATGTTTACTCCTGTATTTAATTAGAACTACATGCCCTATTACAAATCATAATTTTTTGTACGAAAGTATTTTCAATGTTTTAGTTATAGATAAAATGTTTAAAATTTGCCACCAGATAAAAACTAGAGCATTAAGTGTCAACTAGAATCCAATCATAAATTGCTAATATGAAAGATGTTTCTTTATGCAGATCTTGTTATTTTTGCAACTCCACCGGTTAACTTTTCAGGGAAAATTTAATTTGTGTCTCGTACAACTGATACTAGTTGTATGAGGCATCTCTTTTGTCTCACAGTTTTGTGGACCCAAAAGTGTAAGATTTGGGGTCCACATATTTGTGAGAGAAAAAGAAATCTCACACAACTAATGTAAGTTGTGTGAAGCACACGATAAAACTTCTCCCTTTCGAGATGATTTATGTTGTTGATTCTGTAAGGTGAAAGTTATACCATTAATTTTGATTCCTGTGTGATGCAAAACAAAAAGAATAAAGAAAAAAGAATACAATGATCGATAGTTTGTATTTGCAAGTTCGACAAATTCAGCATTTAAATAAGCCATAGACCCTAGTGATGCATTTTAAAGTTGTGCATGACTGGACTCAAAATTGAAAAATATCATTAGTGAACTGGGCTGTTACATATAGTATTTGAGCCACTCCGCGTGCAAGCTTGAATGATAATGGGGCAAACCTCAGCGGTCAGTTGAGTTTAGGCGAATCTCACATCTTTGAAAAGGTGGTGGGGCAAATCTCAGTGAGGACGCTGAGACCCTAGAGGGTGTATGTGACACCCCAGGTGAATCTCATATCGATAAAACGCGGGAGAGATGCTGGATATATATAGTAAACAAGTCTTAGACTCTAGTGACGTGTTTTAAAAACGTGCGAACTTGGGCCCAAAGTGAACAATATCACAAGTGCACTGGGCCGTTACATAAATATATGTGAAAAAATAAGTATAAAAAAAGAAGAAATGTATATTTCAGAGCACATATTTAAATTTAAAACTAACATCTTAAATTTTATCTTTGTTCTTTAATTAGGACTTTCCCTTTTCTTTTAAGGCACTTCCTCTAACCCCTCGCCACTATTGGTGTTTTTCAACGTTAGCATCTTTTTCATTTAATCCCTTTTCTTATAAGTAATGGCTTCTTGCGCTGTGAATTCTTACAATAGGTCGATGTCAAAGTTCTCATTTTCCAAAAGGACCTAATTTATAGTTTGACAAGCAACGATAGCAAAAGACTTTTAATTCCAATTATTTTGCATTCACCAACTAACCATTTGGATTAACTAGTTTGAATACTGTGAGTTATCTGATGATTTACTTCTAAATCCATGTATAATATTTGCTGCATATTATAGTTCATCGTTTCGACCAAATCAAAGGGAAGGTTGAATTTGAAACTAACATAATTCCAAACCTCTATTTTAAAAAATGTGCCACCACTTATTAATTAGTGGGCCACGTCTGGCAGAATGTAACCATCCAATTTGTTGTTATTCACAATAACAAAATTAACCAAACTAATGCAACAAACTATGGCATAGTATTTCATTGGCCTTTTCTTTTCAAAACTTTGAGATAAAGCATCATTAAACTCCAAGGAAACATAATTATTCCGACATTTAGAACAATGGGAGGTATCAGAACTAAGCAGCTAACTAATAATTTAATCAAACAGTTGGAGCTGTTTATTATAGTTCCATTAATTAGTGGGGAGGTTTATTAATTAAAGATTGTGTTGGATTGGCCATTGCTCATTTTCATCTACCTAAGCATCAATGAAGTAAATCTACGCAAGTCTTTTTCTTCTTAAATTATCATATATAAAGAATATACAAGAGTTTTTGATTAAGTATGATATTTTTACAGCTGTAACTGAAGTAGAAAAGTTCAAAGCTTAACTGGAAATGTGTACCATATTTAGATCAACGAGAAAAAAAAATAATATTAATATTAATAATAATAATCTTCTTTCTTGATTTGTGTCTCCCTTAGTGTTAAATTAATTATCCAACTTGGACAAACCTGTGTAACAAAATAGGCCAAGTTCTGCTTGTTTGAAAATTACACCGGAAAAAAAAGAAGGGAAAAGAACAAATGAGAAGAGAATAATAGAAGGCCAATTATATAAGGCACAACTCTAAACCAGTTTTTGCTAACGGTTCGAAAATTCAAATAAGTGGCTCGGAACCGAAGCTAATAGGTTAGGAGATGGGTAAACACGGAGCTTGTGATGTGGTGCCCACG